TTCCTCCGTAAATTGGCTAAAAATTCGAATTTCAAATAGGTGGCTATTCTTCGTTGAACGTAATTTTTAAAACGTAACGGGTTTTAACAGTGCGTGCCCGCTCTGTAAATACGTTGTACGATAACAGCACGTTAACAGGTTTGTTTTCACGCTTTTCGATTCGTTAACTGGTTCCAGGTTCACGCAAATGTTCATTGCGAACCAAACGCATTCGCTATAAATTAATTCGGTATAAAAATAAGTCAAATAAAGTAGAAATTAATAGATTTTGCGCATTTAATTTAGTTTGAACGTTCATTTCTAAACAACACAGAAACCTGGGTGAGTTCCATGCAGGTGCGCAGAGTGAATGAAAGGTGAAATTTTATGCGCATTTCGACACCTTTGTCAACGCTTATTTGCGCAAAATAATAAGTTCCGAGTGTTGTTGTTGGTGGGCCAGCACAAATACACAGAAGTTGGCTCGCTTGGCGCTAGCAGAACAAGAGGCACTGAAAAACACAAACAACAGCAACAACAACAAGCAGAGCAGCACCAATAACATCCAGAGCAACAACTACAGCAGCAGCAGCAGCAGCAACAACAACAACAATAATAATAATATTTGCGCCAGTGGTCACAAGAAATGGCTAATACAAATATGATTAGCAGCAATCATAACAGTAACAGCAACAGCACCGCCTACACTTACAACAATTATAACAGTGCTAGTGCAGACAGCGGCAACAGCAGCGGAAGCAACGGCGGCAGTGGCAGCGGCAGCGGCGGTGGTGGCAGCGAGGTGCAAACGCTACGCGAAGTCTGTAACATGCTCAATACGGCCGCCCCAACCAATTATATGATACCAACAGGTGGTTGTGCGTACGATCACATTATTGCTATGATGCGCGGACTTAACCTGCAGGACGACGGCATTGTCCTTAATAACAAAATCAAAGCCATCGAAACGGATTTCTGCAACATCGTTCGCGACGAATCGATGCTATGGTATGTATATATTCGCGTATATCTCTAGTCACCGTGTGTGAGTTGTATGCGTGTGTGTGTGTGTGTGTGTGTGTGCATGGCGTCGTCCATTGATGATTAATACATAAATATATATATGTATGTTTATGTATGTACATTTCTGTGTATGCATGCATATATAGTATATATGTAGGTACCTACGTCAGAGCTAGTATTAAAATTTACAACTTACTGTAAATGATGTCGCAATTCGGTCAAAATTGAGAACCAAGAGATTTAGCCTTATACAATGTGAGCAAGAGAGAGAGAGAGAGAAAGAGACAGGGAGTAAGAAAAATAAGCAAGTTTCCCGCCAGTTGGATAAAGTTGAGTTTTTGTCGAAGACCAAATACCCTTTGATATATATATGAATGTTATGTACCGTCCGTCTAGGTGCATACATTTTATCATATGCTTAATTTAAGTAGAGCAAACAACAGTTTATGCGGCTTATCAGTCATGTTCGTAGCTGTGTGCAGTAACTGATTTTCTTTTTAGTCGAATTTCACCTAGTAACTATATTTGTATCGACAATAACAAGTATAGGGTTTCCCTTATATGATTAAAACCCTTAATCTTTTGTCTTGATATAATTGATATCCATATAAAGGCTCCTTTATCATGTTCAGGGCATACCGATAACCGGTTTCCGAACGAATCACAGCTGAAAAACAAGAACATTAATAATAACAATAACATTGCCCATTGTATTACTCACAAATTTGCCTTGAAATTCATTACAGCGAATCCATGGACTATATGAATAACAAAGCCCTAAGCGACGCGGAGACGGCACTGAAGTTCGCTCTGCTTTTCTCCTCACGTAACTTTGATGCCCTGGCCATGAAGGAGACGAAAGTACGGAGCGCCATGCTGAAGATTCTGGAGACGAACTTCATCAATGCCGATGCGTATCGGCTGCACGACAAGAATCGACTATACAACTCAATAACGCTGCTGGGCGAGTACTATCATCGTGTGCGTCTGGCGGACAATGCGCCGATAACCATTTTGGGCGACTCGCTGCTCAATTTGCTAACGCGCGAGATAAACGACGTGTCGGTGGTGATGAGCACGCGCCTAGCGCGCCTGGTTCTGTCGCAGATCACGCTCAATGGCGAGATCATGCGCACGCGCCACAAGGCAGAAATCGATCAGTTGCTCTACCATGTCAGACGTCATTTGATCATGCAGCCAGCGCTGACGGCCAAGGTGAAAGCGATGCTAATGATGGTGCTCGACTTGTTCTACAGCCATTTCAAGCATGTGGGCCACGAACTGGAGGCCATGTATACAGAGTATTTGGTGGTCGACGATGACGAGGATGATGGCTTCAACAACAACAACAACAATAATGCGACGGAAATACAGCCACAGTCGGATGCGTACAGCGGTCAGAGTGCAACCACCTGTTACAGTGACGAGGAGAACGGCAGCAGTGCCAACAACTCGGCACAGGAGGTGCCCAAGAAGTGGAGCGAGCAGGTCTGCGAGGATTCGCTATGCGATATTGTTTACGGCGAGGCATCAGCCAATGGCGATGAACAGCAACAGTACAGCGAAAATGCTGGCAATTCCTATCAAAGCCACGACACGTCCAGTTCCAGCCGTCAGGCCAGACGTGGCTATCAGCCGCGCCATGTGCCGCGTCCGCTCAAGCAGTCCCATTCACAGGCGCCGCACGCAGAGTAAGTAATCTTTGGAATCTTTTACGTCGTATTCTTAACTCGTTAATCCTTCGCAGCAATATCAGATCCGATCAGTATCCATCCATGGCCAGCAGCGAGGATCGCGATGAGTCAAAGCCGTTGCCCAGCTGGCGCTTGACACGCTTCAACCGCCCCAATGATGGCGAACAGCCGAATGGACGCTCACGTCATGACCAGCAGCGTCGCTATAGCGTCAGCTGCGATGACGATCATCAGAGTGTGCGAAGCGAGGGTCGCGGCAATTTGCGTCTCTACAGCATTGATGATCGCAGGAAGCACTCGGAGGAGCGCTATGAGCGCAATCTGGGCGGCGGCAGCAACTATAACAACATAGTGAACTCCAATTGGGATCAGCGCGATGATCGCAGCGAGCGCTCCTATATAAGCAACTATGAGCGCGGAAATAGCTACAAGCGCGGCGGGCGCTACAACAATCACAATCGCAACACGTACGACAAACCGCCGCGTTTCCAAAAGCAGCAGCAGCAGCAACAACAGCAGCAGCAGCAACAGCATAGGGATCATCAGAAGATACACAGTGAGACCTGGCGTCGCTCAAACAATGCCATAAACAATGCATATCAGGATGAGAATTGTGCGTACAATTCGAATGGCCCCGAGTCCAACAGTCGCAGCTCGTCGCGTGCGCGCACTCTGCCGCGTCCGCCCAAATCCCAAATGGATGACGGCGCCAGGAAATCCAACACCAACTATCGCTACAGCCAGAGTCCGACACGCGGTGGTGGCAGCGGCGCCGGCGGCGGCGGTGGGCCGCGCACTTTTCCGCGTTACAGCAGTCAGAGCAGCCTGGCAAGCGAAGCGTCCAGCACTTTTGATCGCCGACAGCAATCGACCCGGCCACATCAGCATCAGCATCAAAATCAGCATCAACATCAACCGCAGCGTCATCGCAACTTTACACGTCGCTCACAGCCCAATATACACCAGACGCAGGAGCATCAACAGGCTCCGAATCCACAGCCGCAGCAACAGCAGCAACAATCGAATGCAACTGGCAACTGGCAAGAGGCTGGCAAGGATGAGAGCGAGCTGGTGCGCAATGCACAACAGACAACACAATATATGAACTACCTGTCCGCGCAGAAATGAGAGAGACGCGCCCGCTGCAAAAGAGCCGAGCGTCGTCGCAGCACCAGGAACTACAAATGCATGGAGTGATTACAATAAGCACGAGTACGATTTTTGTAAAGTTTAATTGTTTTAAAATTGAAAGTCTGCAACGAGATTTTGTTTCAACCCGGTTTTAAAGCTGCCCCCCTCCCATTCACTCAAGTAATCAATTTGCTCTTCACTTGCAAATCAAAAAAGAAAAGAAATGATTTTTTCTTTTCTTAAAACTGTATTGGAATATTTTTGAATTTTTCTTGTATATCATTGGGTATTAAGACCACATATTCAATTGTAAGCTAATAATTGTGCCGTTCATTTAATATTATTTTGTATAATGTAGTAGAGACTGTTTGTAATCTACAATTGAGCTCAAATGTTAAACCCAACTCGTGGCCATTTGCATCTAATCTCCAATTTCCCGCCTCAAATAAACAATAAAATGAAATATGAAATCAAACGTAAACACACAAATCAAGATAGGCTCAAGTAGCAATTGTAAATCGCATATAAATATAAATATATATATATATAGTAAATCGGAAACAATTTATGCTTATCCATAAACAAATTGTAAATATCTATTGTACTCGCGACGGATCGATCAGCATACACACACACACACACACACATACATATTTAGGTACATACATAATTATACACCGGCATGTTTTATACAATTTTTGTTAGAAACTAAGTACAAAAGTCATAAACATGAAACAAAAACAAAAAATCCTATTTCTATTATAATTGTATGAATAAAAAAAAGAAAATGATGTTGTTTAAATGTTACATGCACGTTGCCCACGTTGTATTTTAGCTAAATATATATAACTAAATGTCATGTTACGATTTAAAATGCAGAAGATTTATTAAAAGCATATTATACTAATTACACAGACGTATACATGCAGACCTTAAAGAAAGTTATTATAAATAATTGTGAAAGCGCGAGTTTGTTGAAACAACAAACGAGCCACAATGAGAAATTTAAAACTACATTGAATAAAATATATAAATATATAGTTTTAGTCGGATACATATACGTATTTTAAGCATAACAAGCGTTTAAATAATAGTTAATATATATATATATACACACATATACAAATACATAGTCTAACAATAACAATTTTAATAAATATATTTCCAGAACTTTATGATATTTGAAATATATGAAATATATGTATGTTGACAGCTGATAAAATATAGATAGATATAGTGTACATTAAGACATGCACCGCACTCGGGCGGAACTAACACAGAGCATAAACAATAAGAGATTTGACAGGTGGTTCAGCGCTCGGCCTGCTCTTTGGGCGTCACCACCAGGACCTCATAGATCCGGTTGCTGACTTCTTCGCGTTGATATGGCATATATATGACGCGATGCGACGGATGCACTTTGCCCAGCAGCGTCAGGCCCGCGTGCACAGAGCGGCCGGTGTAGAGCGCCTCGCCGATCTCAGAGTAACCCGACTTGAGGGCACCGGGCGGCACATCTCCATTCGTTGCCGCCACCCACTTGAGTTCACAGTCCGTTAGCACCAGCAAGTCCACCTCCGAGTTGAGCCGATGGGCGCTGCAATTCCATGGCGCGTATACGGCTTTCTTTTGCGGCACATAGTTGGCCGGCAGCAAATCCTCGTGCAGATAGACGCGCGCCACATAAGTATCGAAGCCCTCATGATCGGTGCCACATTGAACGGCACCCTCGGGTGTGGTGGGTGCAACGGGATCATCCAAATCGATGGGAACCCACTGGATCTGGGAACGTTCCGGATCGTCGATCTCGGTGCATTCGGCGAAATTCAAATAAATACGATGCACACGGTGACGATGGCAAATGGCCCGACATTGTGGGCAGCTCAGCGAACGGCTTAGCCAACGGGTGAGGCACTCCTTGTGAAAAACATGGCCGCAGCTAGCTGTTGAATATATGATATCATTTGCTTTGTAAAACTCATTGCAAATGCCACATAAAACGTTCAGTTTCTCAGCCTGCTGAGTTGATTTGCTTGTTTCCGATTCTGCTTCCGCCTCCATGATTTTTCGCCTGTTGTTTTTATTGAACTACGTCTGGCTCTTATCTCGGTGCTCTTTGATTTGTATTTCATCAAAAGCACAAATAAAAGGCACACAAAAGACAATATACGCAGCGATAGTCAAAGTTTGCAATCATTTGTAATTGCCGTGCTTTTAATTAATCGATCAATCGATTATTGTTATCGCGACAATTGGTTATCGAAGGTGTGCTTGTGCTTGCAGCCCTGGTATTCGGCACGTTGTTTTTATTGTGGCTGTTGCGTTTGACATATAAACATGCAGCGAAAGGAGCCAAATCCATTCCAAAAACTGGGATTGCGGCCATGGTTGGCCAAGCAGCTGACCAAGTTGGGTGAGCCAAACCGAATTTGCTTGACATAAAGACACCGCTTTATCCATATTCCTACATATGCCTTAGGCCTCAAGGGAGTAACGCCTATACAAGAGAATTGCATACCAGCGATATTGTCTGGCAGGGATTGCATAGGCGCCGCGAAAACAGGCTCCGGCAAGACCTTTGCATTTGCGCTGCCCATCTTGGAGAAGCTGAGCGAGGAGCCAGTAAGCCATTTTGCCCTGGTGCTGACACCCACACACGAGCTGGCCTACCAAATCTCCGAGCAGTTCCTCGTAGCCGGTCAACCCATGGGCGTGCGCGTTTGCGTTGTCTCTGGCGGCACCGATCAGATGATTGAAAGTCAGAAGCTGATGCAGCGACCACACATTGTTGTGGCCATGCCGGGTCGTCTGGCGGATCATCTGACAGGCTGTGACACGTTCTCGTTTGATAATCTCAAGTATCTGGTTGTCGATGAGGCGGATCGCATGCTAAATGGTGACTTTGACGAGAGTTTGGCCATAATAGAACGCTGCCTGCCCAAAACGCGCCAGAATCTGTTCTTCTCCGCCACCATGAAGGACTTTATAAAAGAGTCTAGCATCTTCCCTATAGCCAAGGATGTGAGTGTGCAAATCGACGTGAATATTAATTATCATTATTATAATGCTTGACTTTTAGTGTCTGGAATGGTCACAGGAGTCGGACGTGGCCACCGTGGACACACTTGAACAGCGCTATTTACTCTGTGCTGACTATGATCGTGATATGGTGCTTATCGAAGCCTTGCGCAAGTATCGGGAACAGAATGAGAATGCCAATGTCATGATTTTCACCAATACAAAGAAGTAAGTGCTTAATTTATCAAAGCTATAAAAGTATTTAATCTGTGTGTACCCCGCCAGATACTGCCAGCTGCTGTCGATGACGCTGGCCAGCATGGAAATCGAGAATGTTTGCCTGCACGGCTTTATGCGGCAAAAGGAGCGCGTTGCGGCGCTCAGTCGCTTCAAGTCCAATCATATACGCACCCTGATTGCCACAGATGTTGCTGCACGTGGCCTGGATATACCCAGCGTGCAGCTGGTAATTAATCACATGCTGCCGCGTACGCCCAAGGAATATATACATCGTGTGGGACGGACAGCGCGAGCGGGACGCAAAGGCTTGGCCATATCAATATTTCGATTTCCACGCGATCTGGAACTACTGGGCGCCATTGAAGCAGAGATAAATACTAAACTGACAGAGCATCCCATAGATCGTATGTGTTTTTGTCTTTATAAAATGAAGATTAACTAATTTGAACAATATTTTGTTAGAGCGCATGGTGGAGCGCATATTCATGCAAGTGAATGTAACACGGCGAGAGTCTGAGATGCAACTGGACAACAATGACTTTGACGAGCGCGCCCAAAACTACAGGCGTAAGACGTGGATTATGGAGGGCAAGGATCCCGACCAAATGGAGGCGCTGTAAGTGATGATTAACTGATGCCCTCTGTAAATACTATTAATATGTATACTCAACTCTTACAGCTATCGTAAAAAGCAAAAAGACAAATTGCGCGAAATACGACGCAAGCGCAAGCAGCAGCAGGCAGAGATGGGCACCAGCGAGGAGGGCAAGGCGCTTCTTAACGACGAACGCTTCAAGACTGTGGACAGTGCACGCTTTGAGAAGAAATTCCGAAAACGTCCGGCAAAAGATGCGACAGAAAAGACGCCGCTCAAATCGAGTAAAACAAGCTTAACCGCGAAAACGAAACCAAATGCAAAGCGCAAAGCAAAAGTGACTTGATGAGCTTTTTAATATATGTATATATATAAATATATATATATATATATATATATATATAACAAATAACTTTTGAGCTTACACTACTAAGCAGTTGCGAAACGCATCATATAAATATTTATGTAATTTCAATAATTCAAGACATGCTTCAAAAATGTAGCCGTAGCAGCCTTCAGTTAATGGAGCAGGCACTTTTGCTATGTCAGTTGCTTCAGTGTTTCAGTCTAGGGCGATCGTTAGCAGCGCATCCTCGGGACAGATCTCCAGCAGCACTTTGGCGCCATCGTTAAATGGATACGAAATGCTGCCATCAATGACCAGATCTGCAGAAGTAAAGAATGGAAATGGTTCGCAATCAATGATTAGGTTCGATAAACTGATGTCCAGCTGCTACTCACTGGCATCGATGCAGTGCGATTTGATGAACACGCTCTGGACAAAATCGCGGGCTTTGAATGTGGATGGGGAGGGCCAGACGCCCACACAGATTTGCTCCCGTATGGAGTAGCATAGGCGCGGATCGTCGGGCGCAAAGAGCAGACCCTGATTGTAGCGCTGTGCTATTTCGTCAACATTTTCGCGCAGCCGAAGCACATCGGGGGAATCGCTGTTGGGCAGCGATTTAAGTAGATCGTCCACATCGCTGCTGGTTATGCGATTGATACTCGTGTGCCAGGATGTGGAGCCAGTGCCGGTGCTTACGCATAGGCCAGAACATTTGGTTTTATTGACCAGATCCTGATGGTCCAGCACCAGTTGCAAATGTGACACGCGTGCCGAAATATGCTCGCCAATGAAGACCTAGAACGGGATGCGCAGCGCTTGTGAGGATTAGCTGGACAGTTTTGTTGGCAGGCTAGCTGAAACACACCTCGTTCAACGCCAGATAGGGCAGAATACGCTTCATTTTGGCCTTGTACTTGTTGGCCATGTGCTCGTCGAGCATTTCCGGCGCCGTATCCACCTGCTCCATCTTGACAGCCGTGTGCCTGAACAGGTCCGTCGACTCGGGTATCTTGCCATTGCTGCCCAGCATGGTGGTGCGTATGCGTGAGCGATGCATCCATTTAAAGTCGCCCTGTTGAATAGATAGAATGTAAGCTATGGTCTATAGCCCAACTTGGAGTACCTACGCTTTTGATGCGGCTGACGGCTTCCTCGGGATTCTCCGAAAAGTACTTGGGCAACAGAAGGCGGCCCGCCGAACGCTGTGGATCCGAATTGAAGCCAACAATCGGCGTTTTCTGCTGGCTGAGGGCAAACAAGGGACTGGCACGATTGGCGGACAGCAGAAAGGTGCCATCGCCGCCAACGGGCACAATAACATCCGCCCAGCTCATGACATCCTTGCTCAGAGAGCTTCTAAATTCAAGTCTGCTTGTTTAATAAAGTCAACAGCGACAGGGACACATTATGTGGATGGCGGGAATAAGTACAATTTGTAGTTTGTTTGGTAATTATTGTGACGACCAAAACGATGACCATGACGATGACGATAACCATGACGTATGATGAGCACACCAGACGCAGTCACAACAAAGCCACACAACAAACAACAAACGTTAGAAATATGTATGTACTAGGCAGGACGCCCGCCCGAGCTGGCGTGGCACACAACAACAGCAACAACAAAAACAACAACACAGTACAACAAGTACGCACCTGCTGGAGAGCTTCACCTCGCAGCCGACGTCCTGGAAGCTTTGCACAATGCGCCGCTCGAAATCCTTGTGCAGATTGTGCAAATAGAGGACCATTTCCACGTCGGTGCCGCGATCACGTAGCTTCTGCTCCAGCTGTTCGCGCGATAGTTCCGGATGACGCAGTTGCTCCACTTCATAGCGGGATAGCTTTGTCACGACCAGGGCGCGCTTCAATTGAAAATTTGCGGGCGCAAAGTTGGCATATTCTGTGCAAATGGAATTGTCAGAAATGTAAAATACATCCGATAATCTATTCATAAGCTCGGGCCTCATTTTATTGGCAATCATTCGAATGCCGCACAAGTGTCCTTTTCGAATCCTTGGCGGCGTTTTTTTTTTTTTGTAGCTAACAGTTAAATCGATGAGATTATCTTTCTATAAATTTGATTGTGGGAACTCGAGATTTTCGTAGTGTGCTTGACAGCATTTTCCAACTAAAATGCGTATAAGAACCCGATGTTCTAATTAGACCAAATATAACCAAATTCCAGTCGTTACTGTTTCCAATTGGAATCAACATGTAATCTTTAATTAGATGTGATTTCTGACGCGATGCTTTTAAGAATTGTGTTTTCTAATTGGACGAATGATAACTAATTTCGGGTGCGACCATTTCTAATTGGAATAATCTTCAATTGAATGTGATTCCTGACAATCACATGCCTCTCCGCCTAAAGCTGATAATGAACGGAAGCGCAATTCATGTATATTCGTAAACAACGAAAAGGCTGACAAACGATTGCCTTGTTCAATTGCGCTCTAAACATTCAAAAATTCAATTCAAGTAGACAAAGAAATGTTTTACAGGCCCATTTGTGGCTTACCTTTGGCAAATTGTTTAAGCAATTGCTTGGACTTCAACATGCTGTGCGTTGAACAATATTAAATAGAGCATTTATTTATGAAATTCTTTATTTAACTCGTGTGTTCTACATCAATTGATTTAAATGAATTGTGTGTTCTTCAATAATCTTGCTTTTTAAGTATGTTTCTTTTTCACAATTTACATTCCGTAATTGGAGGTTAGTTGTTAAACTAAAACTGACATCAATTATCACACTAAATACACGTTATCTGCAGCCATTGACCAGTTTTATTTTACTTAACGTCCACGTTCCTTGTCTTTAGAAGATTTACTGATTGATTGCGATTCCATACACAACTCTCGTGTATGAATATTCGCTTCGTTTTGCTGTCAGTTATCGCTGTTTTGTTTCTATTTTTGTTCGCTTTCGCTTTAATATCTCTCTCCCTCTCGCTCTCGCTTCTCCCTCTATCTTGCTGTCCGTTTAGTTCTTGTTGTGCATTGCTGATAAGCGGCACGGCCTTTTCTTATCAGCCCAAAAATAATAATAAAGCAAAAATACAAATACTTTCAGTCAATTGCGTCTCTCGTGTCGGCCAAATGCCATTCACAGCACAGACGCGCATTCTCCTCTTCTTCTTCTTACGCTACGCATACACACTATTCACAATGCGCGCATTCGCATGTTTTCTGATCATTCTCCTGGAACGAATACGTTTCCGTTAATATTTAAAGTAACTTAAAAAAAACAAATAAATCATTTCTTGCTCGCCCATTTGTCTACTTAAAGCGATGATACATTCGCAGCTCCGTGGTTTCCGGGCTTATGTTCATGTCGAGGCCATGTGGTTCCTCGGACAACCCATTGTTTTGCTGTTGAACAATATTTGTTTACTTTAAGACATTATACTCTAATTTACACAGTTTTACCTGCAGGTGTGCCAACTCCTGCTGCACGTCCTCATCCAGTATGGGCTTATGAAAAACGGTGCTCAGCAACATCATGGCATTCTTGGCCACCTCGGCCACATTTAAATTCATGCAGCTGCTCTTGTCCATGTTCATCAGATCTGCCAGACGCAGTGAATCCGAGGCAACAATGCCACCATTTGCCCCAATTGGACCACGCTGCAAAGGGGCGGTTTGGAGGTTTGTCAAATTCGGCGGCTGTTCAACGTTCATTTGTGGTACGTTCCAATTTAAGGTGTTACGCATTGGTGGGCCCAAACGATTTGCCGTATTATTACCAATTGGCATTTGTGCAGTCGGTCGAATCAGTGCCAAATCTTGTGCAGTTGGATTGGTCATCGAAGGTCGAGTTTGGTTAGCCGAGTTAATGAGCGCAGTCAACGAATTCGAACCCAATTGCCAATTGGCGGGAATGGGGTTGCTTTGACTCTGATTCTGATAAGATTTAAATTGATTGTTCACACTGTTGCGCACGTTAAAATTTGAATTTTGAATGTCGCACGGATTCAGTTGGGCGCTCACATTCAGCTGCGGGCGTCCATTCTGAAAGTGATTGTTCATGTTCATCAACACCTGCTGCTGCTGCTGCTGTTGTTGTTTTATGTTGTTGTTGTTATTATTAATATTGTTGCGATTGTTGTTGCTGTTGTTGTTTGGAGGACCTATGAATGCATTGTAGGCGTTACGCATACGCTGCTCCATGGACAACTGGCCACGTTGCGTATTACGACCCGGATTGTTGCCTAGACGATTATGTACAAAATTTTGGCAATTATTCCGATTGAAATTATTGTTATTGTTGTTGTTGTTGTTATGGTTATTGTTGGGTTTACCGCGATTGAAACGGCGTCGATTATTTTGATTTTGATGCCAGCGATTGCCGCGTTGAGGATCTTTGCGTGGCGGTTGCTTGCGTGGCGCGTCCGTGGGCACCAAAGGAGCCGCGCCCGGCGGACGGTTGACATTATTTGCCTGAATACGCCATTGAGCTGAATCAGCGGACATATCCGCATTCGGTACTTGTTTGGTGTTGTCGGTTTGGTCCATTGGTTCGTCGGTCTCTTGATATAACCGATTAAAGTCATTTGTTTCAAAATTAATTTGATTCATATTCGTATCCTGTATGGAAGAGTTAAGCTCATCAACCTGCTGTGATTCGTCCTCATCCGCCTCGTCTTCGTCCTCTCCATTGGCATCCTTATAGGATTGTAAATGAGCCGCTTGTCGCTGGCGCTTATCAGGATGGAATCCATAATGTTTGGGTATTTTTGGCTTGGGTTGTACATAGTGTGTGTAATATTCGTCTGAAAAAATCAAATAATGAATAAATCTTATTTTCATCATTTTTTGTGATATTTTTTTTATTCTTTATATTACCAAGTGGCATCAAAATAGCTGGCGCATTAAACGAAGTCATGGTAAGTCTTCCCCATAAATCAACTGCTTAAAAAAATTATCTTTAAATTCTTAATATAAATGAAGCGCACAAGTATTAAATTCGCCAGAAGAACAGTTAGAATTTTGACAGGCATGTGTGTGTGTGCCAGAGCAGCATTTGAAAACTATCAAATATAAACGTTCGAATAATCGAAAAATGTGGTATTTACTTATGCAGCAAGCGAATTGCAACCCTGAGCTAATGAGCATCGCAGCCAACTTTGCTAGCTTCCTTTACTTTAATTCTTGCCGCAGAACGTGTTGCACTTCAAATCCTGGAACTCTTAAAATGTAAGTTAATTAAACAACTACAACTTGATATTGCAGCAAATATAACTGTGCTTAGTGCATAACAAGCCTTTTTACAGAACTCAAAGCTGCAAAATCAAATAAGAGTTCAAGACTTTGCTCCTATGCCGGCTACAATTTAAATTATAGTCACGTGGCTTGGGGCTTTGCTCTTGAGGCTGTACAGTTTTTATCTTTATATTTGTTTGAGTTTGGTGTATAAAGTACTCTTTTTGTTTTACAGGTGAACTGTAATTGTATTGGCCGTTTGGGACGGTCCTAATTAAATTTGGTAAGTTGTGTTTTTCTAAATGTAATTATCTAGTTTGCGAACACGAGTCGCTGGTGTAAAGATAATTCCACTTTAGCTAGTGCTTTTTATCTGTTCGCAGAGCAAATGCGCTTCGCCCAAGCATAACCCAAATTTATTATATCAAAAATTTGCGGTGCATATTTTTTTTCGTGAAGCCAACATTTCAAATTGAAAAAGTTACATGCTTTTGATGTGGACTCTCTTATGCTCACATATTGTATTTTGTTTCTTGCAGGAAAAATTTGAACGCAGTTCTAATGGATTTACCGCTATGATAATCTAGGCAGAAAGGTTAGTTTTATTTAATTTTAGTAGATGTAAGGCACAGAATTTTACTCTGATGAAATTTTACATTCTGACACCTCATATGAACCACTGTGATTCATTCTATTTGTAATTAAGTACTGAAACTGCAATATTTAAGTAATTTAAGTGCTTTTATGCAATCTTTAACGAAATCCTATTTTTTTTTAGGTTACTCACGAACATGTCGGGCATTTAATGGCTGTACGTGAAGTTGGCTGCACTTTTCGCTGGATAATAATCCTGAATTGGGTTAGTATTCGTTTATCAGGTGTTTTATATCTTATTGAACTTGCAATGATGATCACTTAAACCATTCACAGACACCATATAAAAGTTAAGCTCTGGCAAACTTCTTCAATATTTTTTTGAAGTAAGCGAGTCTTGCTTAGCCGGTTATGGACCCTGGTTAATAAATTGGCACTGAGTCTTACACTTAATGCAACAATTATTTTGTTAAAAAGCGAATATACTTATGCCTCGTTTTCTTTTGCAGGTGATTCGGAACAATTGCATCAGCTACAGCCTGGCATCGTTGTACACTCAAAATATGCTATAAATAAATAAACCTGCATTTTGAATTTAAAAATCGTTTTTTACTATATTTGCACGTTCCCTCAAAGCAAGTTCCTGGTTCTGTTTGGCAATCATGCGATCACCCTTGGATTTCTTGCCGATGCCCAGTTTGGGCAGGCCGCGATTGAGTCCCTCCAGCAGTACGCACGCCTTGCACGGCTGCTGTGAGGAAACGAAGCTGCAGCGTTCGCAAATGCCGCGCACGGGCTTCTTTACCGTATCCTTAAAGCGCAGCTGCTCGCCCGAGTAGATGATGTCCATTATGACCGAGGGTCGCACTTTTTCCAGATCCTTGAGAAAAGCGCGTGCGTGACCCCGGTAGGCGTTCGGCGCAAACACGCATTCGGTGGAAAAGTAGACCAACTTCTTGTAGTGCGCATACATGACAATTTCCTTCTCGTAGCTGTATTTGAGAGGCTTGACGCGGGGTATGGAATCCTCGCCGCCGCCGCCTGTGCGAATGTCCGTGCAGCGACGTAAACGTGCCGTGTCCCCGCGAAGTATATTCATCAGCACCGTTTCCGCAATGTCGTCCGCATTGTGGCCAGTAGCGATGCTGTCCACGCCCAAAAGCTTTGCGCCTCGATCCAATGCCTGGCGGCGAAAAACGCCACAAAATGTACAATTGTTGGAGCGACCTATTTGAGCCACAATGCGATCCATAGTCCAGCCGTACAGTTCCTCATAGGATAGGATTTTCAATGGCATTTGATAGTCATCGCGATTTTGTTTGACCGTCTCTAGACTGTCGTCCCGATAGCCCGTGATGCCTTCGTCAATGGAGAGCAGCACCAGGACCAGACCATAATCGTGGCGTTCATTAAGAAGCTTCAAGCTGAAATGAAGTTTATTAGGCTTACAATTGTGGCCACCTTCAGTTGAACTTACACATGCGCCAGGACTGTAGAGTCCTTTCCGCCGCTGGCGGCGACGGCAACCTTTTCATCACGTCGAAAGAGCTTGCTCGAGATGATTGTGTGATGGATTTCAGCTTCGAAGGCAGCGAAAAAGCAAGCCTTGCACAGAGCGTCACCTGTTTTGGGACGCTGTAAAGGAAATCGATTAATGTTTATAGCTCAATTAAAATAAGTCACTCACCTTTAATGTGGCCCTGTTGCCGCATTTAGCTTTACAATCTATAGGCATTTCTAATGTATATTGTTTACAAATAAACAACGTGCTGTGTTAATCGAATTGCTGTTATCGATACAAGTATTATTGCAGCGTTTTACAGCACTAACTGAAATATCGAAAGGTAACTCCAGAAACTAGGCGCGCTTATTATATTTACGAAAATTATTGAACCAATACTCAAATTCTGGTATATTTAATAATAGCTTACATTTTGATATATGCTTATAATTTAATATTAAAACCCTATTTGTAATTATATGAGTTATTCCTTATCAGTAAATAATTTAATAAAAGTGGGAATACCCCTAATGCAATAAACTCAAATGCAAACACAAAATTTAAGTAATGACTTTTGATGATGAAAATGACGAATATATACACCAGAAATTGTATCGCAGCCGTGGCAAATGTGGTAAGTAATGCATTAAATGATCTATATATACATATTGCAAGCTATCCTTACCGAAACACAGCAATCTACGCACGTCAATCAGAAGTTTACGTCGAGGTGAAGCAGAAATCCAATGTTTATGCTAGGACATCAGTTGCCGCAATGGCTGGGAACGCCAACAACAACAACAGCACACTTGATATTGGACACGATGTTTGGTTCCACATAGCCATGCATCTAGATCCGGAGGATGTACAGACCTTCGCCTTGGTGTGCAAACAGACCGCCAAGCTGGTAAACTCGAGAGCCTTCTGGCGCAACATGTACAAACGCCACTGTCTGGCTGGTACTTCCAGGAGTTGGAACCTGGAGCTGCCCGCCCAGCTGCAGTTGGAGCAAATACGCAACTGTGATACGAAAGCGCTGCGCTCGCACGTCATCGAAGCGCTATTCCACTGTTATCGTCCACTTAAGACGCGCCTCGAGCTGGGCTACAGCCTGGACTGGCTGCTGCACCGCACCTTTATGTCCTGCTCGCAGAAGCAGTATCAATGCTTGTGGATCATGTGCTACACACTTTGGAATCAGCAGGCGACAGCCTCTAGGCAATTGGATGAAGTTGGGCACTTGGCGCAGGCGGACAACGACGTGGTTAACGATTGGGAAGCGCTGGCAGAGAGCGATGAGGCAACAGCACAGATGGTACACAGCTCCGGCAATCGACATGAAGGTGTTGTTCTATTGATTGTGGTGTGCCGGCAATTTATACCGCTGCCGCTGCAGTTGCTCTACAACCAGCAACAGTCGCGCTTTCGCCTGATGGCAACCCGGGAGCTGCTCTGCAGCAATATGCGCGCCAAGAACTTGGAGCTGGATTTTGTCGAGGACAACTGCAATAGCAACAGCCTGAGTGTGACTGTCAAATATGCGCGCATTGAAAAGTATAAAGTGCTGCCCTGGTGGCATCCAGATTTCAAAAGGTTTCTCAAATAAAATTGATATGCGTACAAAAAAAAAAAAAACCAGATATATCTTTAGGTCACAAAATATATAAGGAAAGGAATTAAAGCTCAGCCCAGCCGTCAGCTATGCTGACTTTCACTATTATCAGAATCATGTGCTTGCATGTGAACCCGAGTGGGACATTAAACGGACCTTATCTCAAGTGTCGCATATAGACATGCCAGATGACATGACCGAAAACAGATGTTGTACATTGTTTGGAAGCTACCTACATATTGCAGATAAACAACTTTGATCGTACGATTTTTATCACTTCACTTCGATGCACAGATAGAAGAAAACATAAGTTATAAGTACATTTTGATACGTAATTTTATAAAAGCGATTGTTTTCGTTATGATAAAGGATTACAACTGGAAGATAATTGATATATACACGTTCAGCTTAAACATAATTGTGAGTTACAATACGTACAAAAAACATTAAGAGGTGGTCGTTAGAAATTTGTGTGTGTCTTTATGATAATTGAGCCAAAGCTCTGAGTGCATTACACCTTGCCCAGCAGATCGTGTCCATACGGCTTCTTGCGGTAGCCGCCTTTGAAGGCGAACAGCTTAAAGGCCAGCACCATCATGACAATGCAGAAGGCATACAGGAACATGCCCATACGCATATCCATGTCGGAGAAGACGTTAGAGATCTGACGCTTTTGCCGCATCTTGTCAAGCGTCTCGTGCAGCAGCTCCTCGCGCTGCACGCCAAAGCGACTGACGAACTGCGGATTGTGTATGTTCTTGAGGAAACTCAGCACCGCCTCCTTGTTCCAGTTAATTTCCAAATTCTCTTTCAGGTCGGAGGTTGGCGCCTGCCGGCACTTGGCACAGCTGCTGGCACTGGGGAATTGTACTTTGGGAAATTGCGGATCCTCGGTATCGTCGCCAGCCAGACGCTGATTGACCTCATTATGCGCAGCCCAGAGCCACAGCACGGCTTCGTCTTTGGTAGCAACGTTCCAGATTTTGCGGCGTGTTGCCATTGCCTGAACGCAGGAAACAATATAGATTAATCAAATACACTTGTGTCAATTTAAGCAGCTGCTGCCAAAAGACAACAACACACATCGTCCGTATCACAAAAAGAAAAAACCCACAATGTCATTGCGTAATAACCCATCTTGCCTATGAAGACGAGCAAATCCCATGGGGAATATGTACTTAAAAATATTATAATCATAAAAACGTGACTGCTCCAAGTTAGCTTGTTTAGCAGCATAATGCATTTCACAAACTATACAAGGGCTTTGACCCCACATACTATGTGCATAATACATATATATATATATATGCTTAATCGGCAAGAATAGCTAGACATCTGTACAAACGCGAAACCTAAGTGGGTTATGCAGACCAGACTAGACAAATTTGCTTTTTCTGATATTGGACAGGCTGGTTAGTTATTAAGTAGGAGCGCATATGGCATAATTCGTTTACGTATTATATATAATATATATCTAGGTAACTCTCTTAGTTTAACTGACATTTTTGGAATTTTTCAGTGTATTTTGTATCTGTCTAAGCAATAAGCATTTTAGTTATTTATATTTCTCTCTTGTTTTGCTCCCGCATTCAAATTAAGTTTATGGTCAATGTATGTGATAATTGAATAATCGTGATAAATAACTTTTAATCTGATATAAGGCTTTGCATGTCATATAGAAAATATAATGAGCGCGATATGCTCTGTTTTTTCTAAATTATATTTTATAATTTGTTTACCCGAATGTCTATCTGTACATTTGGGTAGATATATGTATGTGTTCATAGGCTTGCTCAGTCGTAATTACAGGGTATTTGCTAGTGCTACATTTGCTATCTATAGGCTAGGGCAGTTTGTTAGGGTATAAGTCTGCCTAATTACAGTTTATCTTTTAGGGCCTATAAATATATCAAGCATTTCTTACTTATCTATGGGGTATTCAGTTAAAAATAACTTATATTGTTTCTTAACATTTTTCATTCTGAAATTCTTTCCATCCATTTGTAAATCGTAGTTAAACAGGCAAAAGGAAAATAATTATAGCTGCGGGCCCTTCAGCTTAAGCTGATTTGTTATTGTTAGCAACAAATAAACAAAATAAATAAATAAATAATGTAATGAATTGACAAATACTGCATTAGGCCTCGCCCCGCGCACCTGCTCCTCTGCGCCTACAGCTTGAAGGCCAAATGCTGATCTCATAGTGAAAGCGCCAATTACAATAATGCGGTATTATTAACACGTAGGCACAGTCTAAATTATATGTGTGTGTGCGTGTGTGTTTTACATGGAGGTGACTCACCTGGAAATGCTCGCTGCAATCGGTGCAGCCAAAGAAGTTCTTGATATAGCCATGCATCGCCTGCAGCACCTCGAGTGGATCCTGCGACTGTTCGTTGCCGGCCGCCTGGACGCTCATGAAATGGAAAAGCGTCCACAGCGAGCAGCTGAAGCCGCGCAAATGCGGACTGGAGCCCGTGCAGCCCACATAGTGTGTGCTTGAGTAGATGTGACCCAGTTTCGACTCGAGGCGGCGCAGCTCCTGCTCAAACTCCTTGCCCGTCAGCTGTTGATTGAAGTGCGCAACATAATCCCTGAGCTTGGCCACCAGCTGCCGTCCCGCCTGGCCCAACGGATTGTAGCGCTGGAGCACGGTCAGAAAGCGCTGCAGCGCCAGCAACCGCTCGCCGCTTATCACATTCACTTTGGCCACCTCGTTGTGCAGAATGGTGCGTATGGCCTGCTCCAGATCCGCCTGATAAATCAAGTGCTTGTTGCGATGCACCTCGCTGATGATCTCTTTGAGTTCTCCATGCTGGCTGCCGTCGTTCGCCGCCGGCTGCGACTGCGCCTGCTGTTGCTCTGGTCGGGGTGTAAAGCTCAGAGCACGCAGCGCATCCTCAATGGCTTTGGCATAGGCTTCGCTGCTCTGACTGGACGGTGTGAGCACCTTCACATTGCCCTGACGATCCACAAGCGCCACCTGCTGCTTCTGGCTGGTGTCCAAATTAAATTTGGCCGCAACGGCGGCATCGCTGAAACGACGCACCTGTACGGCGGGCCACTGCAGCAGAAAGAGGGCCGTTTCGACGCCCAGCGTAGAGTTCTCCGGCTCGTGTATGAGCGCCACATACTCCCGCTGGCTGTTGAGGCCCTCGAACAGCGCCGTGGCGGTGCTTTCACTTTCGCTGACGGGCACAAAATTGGGCCAATGTGTGTTATTAACAGTCTGATTCTCGGCGGCCACCATGCCAGCGAGCAGGCTGCGTATCTCGTCGGGCTTTTGGGTCTCCAATTTCAGGCCATATTGCATGGCGCTGGGCTGATAGCCCGGGCCCATATACCGCAACGTTGGATAGCCCATGACCTCGTAGGCGCGACAGACGCCATTGTTCTCCTCGGCGGCACAGTCAATCGCACTGACAATGAGCACATCCCGCCAGGCGTGCAGCTGCTCGGCCACCTGCTTGTATATGGGCGCAAAGCGTCTGCAATGCCCGCAATATGTATTATAGAACTCGACGAGCGTGCCGCGATTTTGCTCCAGCACTGTCTCATTAAAGTTGGCCACGGTTAGCTTGACCACCTTATCGCTGTCATCGTACAGGCCGAGCTCCTCGTCTACCGGTGCCGATTGCTGTTTCAAGAGCGTCTCGTATCGGTTCAATGGGACGCCAGCAGCGACCAATTTCAGTATGCAGAAGAACAATAATATTGGTAAAAATGCCAGCTGCGCACCTTGTCGAGTCATTGTCTTTAAGCCGAGTGTTTCGCCGAGTTTAAGGTGTTCAGTGCGCAATGCAATGAGAACGACTGATACGATATTTCTACCGTAGCATTGGGAATGTTTTATGGTTTCAATAACTTTTGATTAGCCACACAGAGTATTTTTGCACTCTCGCCCCTTGCTGCTTGTTCTTTACGAACGCTCGCACAAACAGCTCTTCATAGAGATGAGCACTGACAGTGTAAAAGTGATGCGAGTCACATTTGAGTCACTGCGTTACGGGACCATAACTTGTGGTGACTTATTGTTGGTGGTAGAGTGCGGCCACACTGGAGTGATATAACCCCTTACAATTATTCACTAAAAAGGGCGCGAGCACAACTTATGTAAATGTATTGCGGGTAGGTATGAATGCGGTCGGTTAAACCTGATAAGAGTGTTGCCATACTGCGTCTAAATAACTAAAGGTAACTGGTACACAGTGACTGACTTTTTTGTGCAACAAAAAGTGCTCAAAGCTACATATGTTATTAGTAAAGTAGGTTATAATAACAGATTTAAAATCTAAAAAATGTTCAACGATCAACACAAATATATGTGACTTCAAAAATCACTGCGCTCGCTGCAATCGGATATCTCCCACGCATAAAACGATAAGCGATATTAAATACTATCGATAACACCACATACGATATTTATTTATTGAAACAAGTACACCACTGCATTCTAAAACAAATTTCGAAAGTTTAAAAAAAATTAGCTTAGTTTAGTGAAATTAAGATGATATTGCGCCCATTGGAACGGGCTTTTTTGCCACGTTCCACAGGCGACGGAGCATGCTTCCTGCTAATTGCAATATGTGTGCCGCTTACGTACATGTTTCAAGTCACAGTTATAATGCCGGAACTCCACGACGTGGGCAGCTTTTGGTATACAGCAGTGTGGCTCGCCGGCATTTTTTTGGTCTTTAATATAACGTCAAATATGCTGGCCTGCATGCTGGTGGATACCTCAATTAAATGCAAGTACCAGACCATCAGAGAGGCTCTATATATATTTTAAACAATTTACCTTGCAGTGCATATCCTTAAGCCGCCTGTGGATTCTCATCTACTGAGCCGTTGGCATATGTGCGATGCCTGTCAGACGCTTGTGCCACCACGTTCCTGGCACTGTGAGATCTGTAATGTGTGCGTCTTGAAGCGGGATCATCATTGCCGTTTCACCTGCTGCTGTATTGGCCATCATAATTACCGATATTTCTTCTATTTTTTGCTGTACATGGGTCTGGGTGCCCTCTATGTGAGCATCAATGCCAGCATTTATCTGTGGTATCTGCACGCCGACTATTACTGGCGTCCGTACACACTGCTCACCGTCTTTGTGCCTGCCTTGAGCCTGACCGTGCACGCCAGCTGGGAGAACTTTTATGTGGTACTCTATGAGTTGAATTTATTGGCATTTTGTATGTGCACATTGCTGCTCGTTTATCATCGGCCCATCTTTCAGCGCGGCGCCGTCATGAAGGAGCGCTCGACCAGCAAATATGATCTTGGCCTGCGCGCCAACATGGAAATGGTGCTGGGCAAGCGCATGCACCTGACCTGGATATCGCCGTTTGTGCGCAGCGAGCTGCCGCACGACGGCGTCAACTGGGAGCCCGCGACGAAAGAGGAATGAATCTTATTGTACTTTGATACTAGTCATACCTTAAGTAATCTCATCTAGCACAAAATGGTAGAGTTTAAGTATTACATAATGCATTCCGTGCATTTATTTAAATATTGCATTTATTGCAAATTAACAGAACGAATTGAATGATCATTTATCTAGAAAGCTTTCGCCGACCAGCGATTTCAGCTTGGCCAAATGCACTTCGCTGAGAGTAAAGCCTTCGTTTATGCGCTTTGCTAGCGCAATCGTTTCCATGTTGTTCTCCACAGCATATTGTAGCGCCATTAGCGCCTGGCTGGGCGCTTTGTTTAGCACAGTTGCCTCCACGTACTCAGACAAAGCGCTCTCGGCGGGCGTGCCGGGAATGCGATGCTGCTGCTTGTCAATGTAAGCGAATACCTCGCTAGCCTTGTCGAAGCTGCTGTCGCCGCGCACGAGCAGCGTCAGAATGTCGCCCAGCATTTGGCCGGTGAAGGAGACTTTCCTGGCCCGTTTTGCGGACTCCTCGATTTTATTGTACATATCCAGGGCCACCTTGGCGCACTGTTCGGGCAGCTGTTGCTGGGCGGGCAGTTCAGCATTTGGACGATTATTCACCATTATACGGAGCACATAAAGAAGCAGACTCTCGCGATGGGTGTGATCGAAGATGACCATGTCGGACCAGATGCGCGGCACATGCTCAACGGCACCATTTATTTCTATGGCTCGTAGGATCTCCTCCATAATGCCCGGCTCGGGTATGTAGATGTTGGGCACCAGCACGTCATATGTCTGCATGAAGTCCTCAATGGATTGGGTCTGACACAGCAGCGCCAGATAATTGCGATAGTATATGCTCTCCTTGAAGGAGTCGCCTATCAGATCGTAATTGTTGCCCGTGTGCAGCAGTTCATCTACCTTCTTAGCCAAGGCCTTGTCGTTCAAATGATTGCGGCACACATCCATGGCCGTGGCAAAGAAGTACGTATCCTTGGGATGTTCCACTTTGAACTGCTTACCGCCAATGTCGTTAAGGATGTCCACAATGACGTGCGAGACGGGCGCGCGTTCCCGGCAGAATATAATTAACAGATAGTAATATGTGCCCAGACTGGGCGTAACGCCCAATTGCTTGAACTCCGGCAGAACCTTAAGCGCTGAGCTGCGCGCCAATTTAAAGTTTCCAAACGTGCTGATGCATTCGAGCAGCGCGTTCAGCGTGCCCAGATTGGGATGCAGTTGCTGTTCGGCCATTTGATTCAGCAGCACCGTGCACAGCTGCCAGCGCTGGTCGGCCGTGTCCTTGAGCAGGCTTACAATCTGAATTATGGCATTGTAGGTATTGGTGTCCAGTTGGATTTGCCTCTCGTTCGCCTCTTGCAGCAGCGCATAGGCTCGCTCACACTGCAAATACTTGGCCATGCCGCGTATAAGCGCCGCATAGGATTGCGGCGTCTTTGGCTCAATGGCGGCGTACAGTTTTTCCGCCAAGTCACCGTCCTTCCATGTTTTTCCATGACGTTCACGTCGCCGACTGTTCTGCAGGAACCAGCGTTCCTCAATATACTCTTCCGGCAGCGGTTCTTGGTTATTGTAGAAGCACACCAGCTCCAACAGACTCTGCTTCAGTGCATCATTGACCTCGATGCCCTTGTTCTCCAATAGATTGTACACGAGAACAGCATCCGCGAGCTCACCTTGTGCAATTAGTTGCTGAAGTGAGCTCGTATCCACCTCCGACTCCTCTGTGTAGACCATGGATGGTGCAAACTTTTCAATGGGTGGTTGCGCTTCTTGGTGCTGCAAATTAGTAAATAGAGGCATTTTAATGCGATTTTGTTGTCACATCAAACACTTACCATAAACAGCTCGCGATGCTCCTCTTTAATCCAATTGGCTGCCTTACGTCCCGCCTCCTTGGACAGCGTATACGTGCGCTTGGCCACATTCGACGTGGGTATCAGAAAGGGATCATCGTGGTATTTATAGTGTGGCGCCGTCGAGTCACGTCCCACTGTGCTGGCCAATGCCTGCAGCAGATCTGTGGGCGAGCGTTCAATGCGTTTGGGAATTTCAATGTGCTCGGCGGCCGGCGGCGCAGCGGTTGTGTAATGTGTGCCATTGCCACTGGCAATGTGACGCGCAAGGCTGGAACTGGGCAGCAGTCTTAGTTGGCGCGTTAGGTACATGGTGTGTAATTTGGGCCAATAAATCTGTGCACTTTCAGTAACAAATAAGTAATTTTCAATTAACAAATGTAAA